CTCAACTAAAGCTCAAACACAGCTCAAACACAGCTCAAAAAAGCTCAACAAAGCTCAAACAAAGCTCAAACAAACCTCAACCATAGCTCAAAAGCTCAAACACAGCTCAAACACAGCACAAGCAAAGCTCAAACAAAGCTCGAACAAAGCTCGAACAAGGCTCTCACAAAGCTCAAACAGCGCTCAAACACAGCTCAATCAAAGCTCAGCCAAAGCTCCAATAAAGCACCAACCACGCTCGAACAACGCTCCCACAAGGCTTGAACAAATTTCCAACAAAGCTCAGAAAAAGCTCCGAGAAAGCACAACATCTGTGTGAATTTGGGGCGGGGAGGGGATCGTTCCCCCTCCCGTCCGGTTCGAACTGGGGCCGGGGGGTCTGTATCCCTTGCCCCAGTTCGAACCGGGTGGGGAGGGTTCTGTGCCCCCCCCACCCCTGTTTCCAGGCGGGGGGGGGTCCCTCTCCCCTCTCTCCAGAGCGACCTGGGGGAGGGGCGGGGGCGGGGAAGGGGGGCTTCTGTGCCCCTCCCCCCCCTCGGTTTCCGAGCAGGAGGGGCCCCCCCCTCCCGATTCTCGGGGGGGGGGTGGAAGGGAGGGGGGGATTTTTCCTGTCAAGCGAGGGTGGATCGTGCTCCCTCGTACATTGGATGCGCTCGCTGCGTGGAAGACGAGCTTCCCCATTCGACTGAAGGTTGCAAGAGGGGTGGTGAGTTGCATTTTTTTCGAGAAGAGGAATGAGGGACGCACACCAGCATTTTGGAGGACAGGAAGTGGAGGTTGGGTGGCACAATGGGAGAGTCTGGAAGCGCTTATAGCCATGATGCGCGAGTGCACATCGGTGGTCAATCTGCGCAGGTCAACCCGCAAGAGGGTGAGAGAGCCAGTCCGATGCCTGTTCTGCCCATGCCCCTGGGGCTGCGCTTGACATTACCATCGGGGCCATCCTGCTGCCTTGGCGCAGGTTTCTTGCCATTCGGGGGGCCATCCAGGGGGCCCCTGGGGCCAGCCCCGGCCCCAGCGGGGAGCCCTGAGGTCGTCTGGGGAGCCCCCGGGGCGCCCCGGGGCGTCAGGATGGCCTCTCGGGGACCTCCAGGGGGGTGGCCCTTCGGCCCTCCGGCCCTTCGGCCCTCGTCTTCGCCTGCCCTTCCCGCCTGCCCCCTCCCGCGCCTGCCGCCCGGCGTCTCCCCTCCCCCCCCCCCGCCCGCCGCTCCCCGCGTCGCCCGCCGGGCCTGCTCTCTGCTGCGAGCCTCTGGTGCCCGTCCGCCCTGCTCACTGCTGCGTGCCCTCGCTGCCTGCCCCCCGCGCGTGCATTCGGACCCTGCCATCCCCCTGCCGCCCGATCCCTCCCGATGCCGCCCTGCCCTGCCAAGGTCCACCCATCCACCTCTCCAGTGGCCCCCAGAGATCCAGCGCATGGAACAAATCAAGACGGAGGTTTTTCGCCGGTTTCGACCTCCAGAGACCCTCGCCGGGCCTCGGGAGCGTCAAAAAGCGACTCAGGACGTCAAGCCAGTCCTGGGGAGTGGGTCGAGACTTCTGGGGACCCTGTATTGAAAAAATCACGACATCGGATCTCTGGGGCCCTATCCTCCTTGCTGTGCCACCCTGGCCGACATGCAGATGCAGAGGGTATCCGAGCCTCAGAGCCGACGGAGGAAGGCGTCACCGAGGCGATCCGCGTCACCGTCTGTTGCCATCTCCAGGTGCTGGGGGCGCACCTCGTGTTTCATAGAGCCCCCGTGCATGCCAGTGCCACTTCGGCTCGAGACGAGCTGAAGCAGGCCTCAGGCCCAGTGTCTTTGCGACTTGGCGTCGGCTGGCGAAATTTCTCTACACGTTCTGGGCCGCGCGTCGCGCGGAGGGTTGGCGGCGGCCATGGCGTCGGCCTTCGCCATCGCGCTGCTCCTGGCGGCGGGGGCCGAGGGGGCCCGCCCGGCGCTCGATCTCGAGGGCGCGGGACTCCGCGTCGAGGACAGCGTTAAGTCGGGCCTGCCCCCCTACAGGCGGATTTTGGACGAAAAATCAAACAATGGTCAAACAATACCCCCAACATGCAAAGAAATATCCCGGCAAAGCAACCTAACAGCGATGTGTATAAGCAGATTTGGAAGCATTCCCCTTAAGATTCAGGTGAGAATCCAGTTGTAGAATTCTGCTGTTCTCGCAGTCGCAGTCGCATTCGCAATGACAGTCGCAGTGGCAACGGCCTTAGGATCCAATGGAATCCTAAGGATTCCTAGGGATTCCTAAGGCATCCTTAGGCTTCCTATGGAATCCATCGGAATCCTTAGGAACCCGTAGGAATCCTTAGGAATCCTGATTCCTGGGGATTCCCAGGGATTCCTAAGGATTCCTATGGAATCCTAGGATTCCGAAGGATTCGCCTGCCTCGGCCTCAGCCTCAGCCTGCCTCAGCCTCAGCCTGCCTCAGCCTCAGCCTCAGCCTGTCTCAGCTCACCTGCCTCAGCATCAGGCCCCCGCACCTCAGCCTCAAGCAACAGCCTGCCTTCGCTTCCTCGGCCTAGCCCTCAGCCTGCCTCGGCCTCAGCCTCAGCCTCAGCCTGCCTCAGCCTCCAGCCTCAGCCTGCCTCAGCCTCAGCCTACATCAGCTCAAGCCTCAGCCTTGCTCAGCCTCAGACTTGCCTCAGCCTCAGGCTCAGCCTCACCTCACCTCACCTGCCTCAGCTTCAGCCTCAGCCTCAGCCTGCCTCGGCTTGCCTCAGCCTCAGCCTCAGCCTGCCTCGGCCTCAGCCTCAGCCTCAGCCTGCCTCAGCCTGTGCGTCAGCCTCTCAGCCTCAGCCTGCATCAGCCTCAGCCTCAGCCTCAGCCTGCCTCAGCCTCAGCCTCAGCCTGCCTCAGCCTCAGCCTCAGCGTCAGTCTCTCAGCCTCAGCCTGCATCAGCCTCAGCCTCAGCCTCAGCCTGCCTCAGCCTCAGTCTCAGCCTGCCTCAGCCTCCAGAGCCTGCCTCGGCCTCAGCCTCAGCCTGCCTCAGCCTCAGCCTGCCTCAGCCTCAGCCTCAGCCTCAGGCGGATTGTGGACGACAACTCAAACAATGGTCAAACAATACCCCCCACATGCGGCAACATATCCCGGCAAAGCAACCTAACAGCGATGTGTATAAGCATATTTGGAAGCATTCCCCCTAAGATTCAGGTGAGAATCCAGTTGTAGAATTCTGCTGTTCTCGCAGTCGCAGTCGCATTCGCAATGACAGTCGCAGTGGCAACGGCCTTAGGATCCAATGGAATCCTAAGGATTCCTAGGGATTCCTAAGGCATCCTTAGGCATCCTTAGGCATCCTTAGGAATCCATAGGAATCCTAAGGATTCCGAAGGATTCGCCTGCCTCGGCCTCAGCCTCAGCCTGCCTCAGCCTGCCTCAGCCTCAGCCTCCCTCAGCCTCAGCCTCAGCCAGTCTCAGCCTCAGCCTGCCTCAGCATCAGCCTCAGCATCAGCCTCAGCCTGCATTAGCCTCAGCCTCAGCCTGCCTCAGCCGCAGCTTGCCCCAGCCTCAGCCACAGCCTCAGCCTCAGCCTCAGCCTCAGCCTGCCTCAGCGTCAGCCTCAGCCTCAGCCTGCCTCGGCTTGCCTCAGCCTCAGCCTCAGCCTGCCTCGGCCTCAGCCTCAGTCTCAGCCTGCCTTCTGCCTTGCTCACCTCTCGACCTCAGCCTGCATCAGCCTCAGCCTCAGCCTCAGCCTGCCTCAGCCTCAGCCTCAGCCTCAGCTTCAGCCTGCCTCAGCCTCAGCCTGCGCATCAGCCTCAGCCCTGCAGCCTCGGCCTCAGCCTCAGCCTGCCTCAGCCTCAGCCTGCCTCAGCCTCAGCCTCAGCCTGCCTCGGCGTGCCTCAGCCTCAATGCCTCGGCTCAGCCTGCCTCGGCTTCAGCCTGCCTCAGCTCGGGCATTCAAAATATGGCACAGGACTGGTGTTCTGGGAACACGAAGATCACGAAGTGGCCCACAGTTGGCTCCGGGCAATCAAAATATGGTACAGGAATTGTGTTCCGGGAACACGAAGAACACGAAGTGGCCTACAGTTGGCTCCGGGCATTCAAAATGTGGACTGGGAGCGGTGTTCTGGGAACGAAAAGAACACGAAGCGGCCTACAGTTGGCTCTGGGCATTCAACAGGTGGCCTGGGAATGGTGTTCTGGGAAGACGAAGAACACGAAGTGGCCTACATGTGGCTCCGGGCATTCAAAGTGCGGCCTGGGAATGGTATTCTGGGAACACGAAGAATACGAAGTGGCCTACAGTTGACTCCGGGCATTCAAATGTGGCCTGGGAATGGTGTTCTGGGAAGACGAAGAACACGAAGTGGCCTACAGTTGGCTCCGGGCATTCAAAATGTGGCCTGGGAATGGTGTTGTGGGAATGGGTTCCTAAGGATTCCTAAGAATTCCTAAGGATTCCCAAAGGTTCCTGGGGCTGCCGGATTTGTCCAGTTTTGTCCGGATCCCGCCCAGACCGCCCTGGGGCGTCAAGATGCTTTCTGTTTTTTGGGACCACTAGGAACCTATCAGCAAAAGCTGTTAGGTAAATCGTCAAAACATCGTCCCCAGACTATGTTTTGACTTTTTCTGAATATCCCCCCTGTAGAGGGACAGGCCCGACGAGGACAGCGGTGGTGATGGAGCCAGCCGGTCGTGGGAGAAGAGAGGGTGTGCGGATGTTGTTCCTGGGGCAGAGGCCTTCCATTTTGGTTCGTGCAGGTGCGCAAGGAGGAGGAGGAGGAGGAGGAGGAGGAGGAGGAGGAGGAGGAGGAGGAGGAGGAGGAGGAGGGGGAGGAGGAGGAGGAGGAGGAGGGAGGAGGGAGGAGGCAGGAGGGAGGAGGGAGGAGGGAGGAGGGAGGAGGGAGGAGGGAGGAGGAGGAGGAGGAGGAGCAGAGGCCTTCCATTTTGGTTCGTGCAGGTGCGCAGCAGCAGGGGCCAGGCTGGCCGGCGGGGACGCAGCGTGCAAGCTGGAGGAGGAGGAGGATGGGCCTGGAGGTTGACACCAGCACCAATATCGGCGGTGCTCCTCCACCGAGGAAAGAAAATCCCGATCTCGGTGCTGGTGGTAATATTCTGGCTTCAAGGTGACCGAAATATTACCACCAACACCGAAATCTAGGATCACCTCTCCCCTGTGGAGGCAGCCCCCTGTCTTGGTGTTTGTGCCTATCTCCAGGCCTCCAAGAGGACGTGTTCCTGCCCGACAGCGTCCAGGGCAAGGGCTGTTTTTGCAGGGGCACCCTGGCAGGCAGCAGCGCTGGCGAGGGTGGCTTCTTGGAGATGGCAGATGGGGAGCCGCGGTGCCCGATCTTGGCAGAGGTGTCTTCTTTGGAAGAGTGCAGCGAGGCGACCGCCGCACTTGCACTTGATGGAGGAGGACCGTTCTTGAACCACCACTTACTGTCTACAAGCTTCTGCTATTTGAGGGACAAGGGCAACGACGCGGCAACTTCTTTTTGGAATCCCGAGCCGCCCACCTACATGCAGGGCAATCCCGTGCCTGGCTCTCGGCCTGTATGCCGAGGCACCTCGTACTACCTTCAAGACAGGGCTGCAGAAAGGGGGATGTGTCCAGAAGGGCATGAGCTTCTGTCCGGGGAAGAGTGTCGCGCGGCCTTAGCCCTCATGACAGGTCAAAGAGTTTCGCGCTACCGTCTGGAGCCAGCTCATGCCTGGGGTTGCCGCTTAGAAGCCACGGAGGTGCCCATTGGCAGGGCACTCGTAACGGTGACGGAAGCAGTTTTTCTGTACAGGCCTGAGGGCAGCCAGAGCCTTACGGTCAATCCACATTTTTTTACGCTGAAGGGGTCAGTATGCCGCACGTCTAACTCTACTGCGATTGCTGAGCAAGCGATTGGTATCCTGAAGAAGCCGTGGAGCAGCGTTGACTTGATCATCAATGCCATACGTCAGCTTTCAGCAAGTGGTCGCAAGGGTGCCGACCGTTCGGAGGCATTGGTTCCCTACCTGTGGCATGAGGATATCACGAAAGGCTCTGCAAAGAAAGTCACCAGTGATGCTACACAGTACGCCCGAGCGTGCGTGGCCGTAGGCATGGTGCCCGCATGGGAGCGGCACAAAGGGCTGAAGGGTAAGATCCTCAGTTTGGACATCGAGAACGGAACTGCAGAGCTCGCTGGCGGGGTCGACAGTGTCCACGTGCCCATCAGAGCCTTGCACGGTTTAGGAACGTGGCAACCGCGGCGGGTCAGCGCCGCCGCCGTGGGCGCGCTCGGTGTCTTCTTCGGTTACGACCTCGTGGATGCATCTGAGATCGGAAACACAATTGCCAAGGTGCTCAAGAAACATTTGCGTGAAATCTCATCCCATGAGGAGTGGTTGAAGAATCTGGGCAGCTCCTCGCCTGACATGGCAGTCCGCGACGGTGCTCGGGAGCTGGGGCTGTTAGGTTCAGCATGGAAGAGAGAGAGTCTTAACAGGAAAGCGATTCTCAGAGACACGGCTCGTCACTTGGTGAAGGACGTGCGGACCCGGAAAGCGTTTGAGAAGGCACAGCAGGAGAAGAAGAAGGTATCCCAGGAGAGGAACATCAGCCAAAGCTTGTCACGGCAGGTGGGCATGCACATCGTTTTCGACAGCGCTCATACCCTGAAAATGCCCCGTGGTACAATGCTGTTGTGGACGTCGCTTAACGAAGTGGAAGCGCACCGATGCCCCCGCGTCCCAGCGTGCCCCGGGGTCGATCTCAAGCTCGAAGACCTCGAGGGTTTGAATCACTCGCTCGGTAACGGCCCCTGTGCACAGGGGTACAGTCCTAACGCACCAGGGTGCGCGGGGTGTGCATCGCCCGAGAGCGGCAGGAGCCCCATCGACGTTTTCACGTGTGGGGCGTGTGGCGATTACACCACTGAGGTTCTGCGCCACATCTCGGTTCCGTTGGCCCTGTACCTCTTCGGCATGAAATCCGCCTACGACCCATCGGAGGCCGAGTGCTTTGGCAGCGTGACCACAGTCTTCCTCTCCTTCCACAGCACTGCTAGCCTTGTTCTGAGCTCCATCGAGGCGTCCCCCATTGGCATCGAACATAACGTCAGCGCCTTGCTGGGCTCCTTGACAGTGGGTGCCGAGTCGGCCTCGGGCATGCCTTCGGGCAGCATCGACTGCCTCGTGAAGAGGCCGGCAGGGATAACCTCGTGGCTCTTGCACAGTGCCGCCGTGCCCGTGACGATCTTTCTGCTGTGGGTGGTGGGCGCGGTCGCGCTGGGCTACATCCGCGGAGAGCGCCCGAACTACATCGTGATTATCGTCCGGCCCATGGCCGTCTTCGTCAAGAGCTTCTTCCCCATGATCTTCGCGGGAGTGTGGAGGGCGTGGCCGTGCTTCCACACTCAAGGTGCCCCCTCCAGGCTGATACCGGTTTTTTGCCCTTCACACCACCAAGAACGAATGTTGTCCAAAAGTGGTTCCAGTGTGGTCTCAACGGCCTTCAGGCGATGTTCAGTTTTTTCAGAGTTTTTATCGTTCGTTTCCTGCGTCCTGGACTTCCCATGCGGCCTTTGAAGTTCGTCACGCTTCGCGTATCCCCACCAGCCCATTCAGAAACGTTGCCCATGAGAGGTGATGGGGAACGGGAGGAAGAGACACACATAGTGAAACGAAACGGGCAAGGAGGGTGAATATAGAGATCTCTGGGAGCAAGGGGTGGCCTTGGAGGGCCTCTTCAAACCATCCCTGTGGCCCGCGTGGGCGCGAGGGGAGGAAGAGGAGGAGGGATGAGGAAGAAGAGGATGATGATGATGATGATGATGATGATGATGATGATGATGATGATGGTGGGGAGGAGGAGGAGGAGGAGGAGGACAACGAGGACTACGGCGACGAGGAAGGAGGAAAAGCAAGAGGAAAACGATGAGGGCAAGGACGAGGATGACGATGAGGAGGAGGAGGAGGGAGGAGGGATGAGGGTGAGGAGGAGGAGAAGGAGGAGGAGGATTGCTTTTCTCCTCCCATCCCAAAGCCAGCCCTCCTCGCCGCCATGCGTGGTTAACATATCCCCTGGTGTGCTGTCGTCCAATCTCAACTGCGAGGAACGTCTGGATGCAGAATGCACGCTGCTGGCCATGAGCCCCGCGCGGAGAACTACATATAGATAGAGCTTGCACTTCCAATGGGAAGCTGTCGAAGTTTTCGTTGGTGCTCGTCGATCTAGGGTCTGGTGTGGGATACAGACTACGTGTTTCAGAAAAAGCTACAGTCGGGGCCCTGAAGAAGGAACCCTGCTCGTTGGGGAGGGGCTCCGCGTTCCTTAAGTGTTTCACAGCTTGCCTCAGGTTTTCCTCATGTTTCCGATCGGAAATCGAAGTTTAACTTATGGAAAAAAAGGACCTCGTTCCTTATTTAGGGTTCCTTAGGTCAACGCCCCGACTGTATTGCTCTGGTAAGTGCAGCCTGACGGCCACGGCCGGACTTGAGAGGGAATGGCCCCTGGCCCGGAGGCAGGGTACGAGCGAGCAGCAAAGCCGGCGGGACCGGCCGAGAGGGAACGAGACAGGAGGAGGAAAGGGAAGCCAACCAGGACGGCGGAGGAGGAGGAGGAGGAGGAGGAGGAGAAGGAGGAGGAGGACGACGACGACAGAATCCTCAGAATCCTCAAAATCGACTCTTGGAGCCCTCTTGGGGCTCTTTTGGGTGGTCTTGGGGTTCTCTTGATGCTCTTTTGGGGGGCCTCGGGGCCTTGTTGGGGCCCTCTTGGGGCTCTCTTGGGGCCTTATTGGGGGCCCTGGAGGGCCTCTCGGGGCAACCTTGGAGTGGAGGCTATCGATCAAAGAGGGGGGTCCTAACTTTTGTCCCCCCCCGCACTGGGGCTGCCACCTGGCCCTATTGAGGCGCTTCTGGGCTCTTTTTGTCGCGCTCTTGGGCGCTCCTGGGCCCGTCTTCAGGGCTTTTCGGGCCCCTGTTGGGCCTCTCCTGGGCCATACCGGGGCCATCTTGAAGCCCCCAAAGCGCATGGGAGGCGAAAAGGCGAGAAGGCAACACTCACCGACTTTCATTTGGTTTTTGGAGGGTTTTGGCTTCTTGGGGGGTGGAAGCTATCTTGAGCCATCGTTGGCTATCCTGAGCCATCTTGGATGCCATCTTGGAGCATCGGACGCCCCCATGGAACCATTTTGGACCATCTTGGACGCTCCAACCCCTCGCACCCTCCGTCCAGACCCAGGAAGAGGGTGAGGTACACCTTTCCGAAGGGACGACATTTCCTGGAACAGGAACTGTATATAACGTTAGGCCACCTTAGCCCAACGGGCTGGTGGGATTCTTATCGCTTCGTGTATCCCTACCAGCGTCTGCAGCCTGGCTCAAGCCGTCCCGGCTCGAGGTGGCTTGCGCGGCCTGGGTCCCGCGGCCTGGCGGGCGCGCCCGCGGGCCTCCCGCGGCGGCTTGGACGGGGGGGTCTCGTCTCCCTCCCCTCTCGGCCGCTGCCCCCGGGCGATGTTGTCCCCTGCGGCGGCGGCGGCGCCGGGCTGCCGCCGCTCGCGCTGCCCGCGTGTCGGCGGCGCCGAGGCGTCCGCGGCGTGGCCCCGCCGCGGCCGCCGGCGCTGCGGCCGCGGGCGCTGGCCCCGCCGCCGTGGGCGCCGCTGCCCGCGCCGCGGCCGCCGGCCGCGGCTGCGCCGCCGCGGGCCCGCTGCGCCGCCGTGGCCCGCTCGGTCGCCTTGGGCCGGCCGCTGCCCGCGCCGCTGCCGCGGCCACTGGCGCTGCGGCCGCTGTTGCGGCCGTTCGCGTGGCGGCCGACGCCGCGGCCGCGGCGGCTGCCAGCTCGGCCGCCGGCGCCGCCGGCGTGGTGGTCGCTCCTGCTGCCCCGTCCGCGGCGGCTGCTGCCGCCGCTTTGGCTGCCCCCGCCGCGGCGGCTGGCGCTGCCGCGGCGGCCGGCGGCCGCCCCAGCACGGCCCCCGCGGGCGCCGGGCCGCTGCCGGTGCCGGTGCCGTCGGCGCTGGCTGACCTGCTGGCGGCCCCGTGCGCTCCCGACGCCGCCGCCTCCTTTCTGCTCGCCGTGCTCGCCGCCACGGCCGCCGCCGCGGCCTCCTCGCGTGGGCCGCCGGCGGCGGCCGCCGCTGCTGGTGCCACGGCCGCCCTGGCGCTGGCCCCGGCCTTGGCTGGGGCTGGGTTAGCCGCCGTCTCCGCCGCCGCCGCTGCTGCCGCTGCCGCTGCTGCTGCCGGCTCCTCGCCAGCGGCGGCGGCGGCGGATGGCGCGTTGGCCAGCGCCGCCGCGGCGACGCGCGGCCTGCCCCGCGGCCCGATCCACGGCGAGCCTGACGGCCGGGGCCGCGGCCAGCCCGACTGCCAGCCCCACGGCCTGCCCGACTGCCATCCCCACAGCCAGCCTGACGGTCAGCCCCACGGCCTGCTTGGCTGCCCGCCCCACGGCCCGCCTGACGGCCAGCCTGACGGCCCGCCCTGTGGCCAGCCCGACTGCCAGCCCCGCGGCCGGGCCCGCAGCCAGCCCCACGGCCGGCCCGACTGCTGGCCCCGCGGCCAGCCCCACGGCCGACCCGACTGCCAGCTCCACGGCCGGCCCGACGGCCAGCCCAACTGCCAGCTCCCCAGCGCTGCCGACGCTCCCCGCGTCCGCGCCGCCAGTGGTGCGCCCGACGCAGCTGCCGCTGCCGCCGCCATTGCCTGCGCTGCTGCCGCCGCGAGGGCCTCGCAGGCCTCCCTCTGGACGGCCGTCGTGGATCTAGCCCAGGCTGCTAGGCGCGCGGCTGACGCCGCTACGAGCGCGTTCCCTGGGCACAGAGCGGATCCGCTTGGAGACAGTCACACATATGAGGTTGGCGCCTCGCCCGACGACCGTTGTAAATTTGAAGGTGGCGTTTCGCTTGCAGACAATCGCCAATCTGCGGATATCCTGGACTTCGTATCTCACCGTGCGGCCGTTCGCTGCAGCAGTCGCCATGGAGAGCTACAGACAGAACAGGCGGTCGTCAGCCACAGCGGGTCGGTCCTGCCCTCTCCTGGAGGCAGGCAAACGGGCGCCCCTCCAGCTACTCACTCCTATCAGCGTCCCAGGCGCCGTGTCTTCGTGGAGGCCGACGACGCGCCCGAACGCGCGCCCCTTCCTGGAAACGCGGCGACAGTTCGGCTAGCTGCGGGGGGCGAGCGCGCGCTCGAAGACGTTCCTCACAGGAGTTTGTTTCCGAAAGTGCGGCCGTCAGCTGCAACAGTCCGCAAAGAGAACTCCAGACCGAACAGGGTTTCGTCTGCCGCGGCGTGCCAGTCCCACCCTCCCCTCGAAATAGGCAGACCGTCATCCTTGCTGCTCCTCACTCCTATCAGCGCCATCGGGGCAGTGTCGTTGCGGAGACAGAAGATGCGACCCGAGGAGCTTGTGTCCGAAAGTGCGGCCTTCAGCTGCAACAGTCCGCAAAGGAAACTCCAGACCGAACGGGGCGTCGTCAGCCGCAGCGCGCCGGTCCCTCCCTCTCCGTGAGGCAGGCAGGCGGACCCCAATAGTGCTCCTCACTCCTATCAGCGCCCCTGCGGCAGTGTCGTCGTGGAGACAGGAGATGCGAGCCGAAGCGCGCCCCCTCCTGGAGACACTGCCGTGGCGACACTTGGGGGTGCTGCAGAGGGCGCGCCCGCGCTCGGAGGCGTTCCTCGCGATCCTGACAGTCAGGAAGATGCATCCGAAAGTCCAGCCTTCAGCTGCAAAAGGAACGCGCCCCCTCCTGGAGACAGCATCGCGGCGATAGTTGGCAGCGCTGCAGAGGGCGCGCCAGTGCCGGAGACGTTCCTCGCAAAATAGACGGCCAGGGGCTTGTATCCGAAAGTGCGGCCTTCGGCTGCAACAGTCCTCTGGGGGAGTTTCAGACTGAACATGCGGTTGTCTGCCGCAGCGTGCCGGTCCCTCCCCCTCCTCGTCACGGGCGGATCGCCCTCCTTGCTGCTCCTCGCTCCTACCAGCGTCGTTGGGGCAGTGTCGGTGTGGAGGCCGCAGATGCGACCCGAGGCGCGCCCCCTCCTGGATGCGTTGCCACGGGGACAAGTGGGGGCATTGCTGTGGGCGCGCCCGCGCTCGGAGACGCTCCTCCAGAGGGCGCGCCCGCGCTCGGATACGTTCCTCGCAATTCAGACAGTCGCGAGTTTGTTTCCGAAAGTGCAGCTTTCAGCTGCGAGTGTCTTCTGGGGGAGCAGGTGGTCGTTTGCCGCAGCGCGTCGGTCCCTCCCCCTCCTGGAGACCGGCAGGCGGGCCCCCATAGTACTTCTCGCTCCCATCGGCGTCCCTGGGGCAGGTTCGCGGAACCCAGAAATGCCGTCGAAAGCGCGCTCCCTCCTAGAGACAGTATCGCGGCGATAATTGGGAATGCTGCAGAGGGCGCGCCCGCGCTCGGAGACGTTCCCCCCAATTCAG